GGTCCCACTGATAAGGCAAATGCTCCTATCTGTCACATGGGCATAGCTGACTATAAACTCATCAGTGGTAATCTGGAAAAGGAATTTGGTTTGCAAAATTTCATCCTGACCAGGTGGAATAAGCAGAGTTCTTTTAAACTCATCTATATTTTGACCTCTAATCTGTAAGAGCCCAAAATAAGAATTCCACTTGAAACAAGGATCATGTAAATAGTTGCCTTCATAAAATAAAAGCCATAACACTTATGGGAAGAACTAGCCCAAGGAGCCTGGTCCAAGAGCGCCTTTCTTGACTAACCCGTTTTTCACAATTTTCAGGGATTCTCAAAGGGGAGGGAAGCATTATAACAGGAAAGCAAACATTGCTTCCCAGGACCGATGGTAGACCAGGACTAAACTACTGTGCTTGAGGTTAAGATTGGACCAGTCTTCTCAGCATGGTCTATAAAACAGCATATTTGTACTAGGATTAGCAGTCTAGAACTGAGTTTTCTTAGACTGAAAACTGGTCTAAGAAAAGAAACATTGAAAAAAATGTTAGAATTACTTTGAAATTTTTCATCTACAATGATTAGAACATTCAGACAGAACCAAGTTAAAATAATACCTCCCTGCTTTTTCTCCTCTACAGGCTCACCTATTCCTTTGACCACATCTGCTACTGCTTTACTTCACACATTGCTATAGATTACATGATTTCAATAATGAAGGTGGAAGTCAAGCTTCACATGGCAGTAGGTCAACACAGATTTCATATTTTAGTCATGAACAACCTACATTGGCTATACACAGCATACCACAGAACAGTATTTAAGTAGCAACTGGTTAGAAACAAAAAGTTTTACAACTAGCTCACTATATCAGGACTAAAGCTAACAGACCAAGAAACTATTAATTCTTAAATAAACTGGTAAAGTTTAATGGACATGAAAAAAATTAAACAAATTTGTGTCAAGTTCACATATTACACATTTGCATTATAGAGCAAGTTCTGATTTGACAAACAGCAGTGCAAATCCAAAAACTGTAGATATATCTTCACATTAATTAGAAATACTTGTGCATCCTTCAGTAAACTGCAGCTCTACAGAGCATCAAGAATGCTACAGAACCTTAGTCTAAGACCAGGCACTTGAACACAGATACAAGAACTGCAGATTTAGTCAAGAAAACTATTCCAGACTGCTTGTCTGACGGACAGTGTTTGTTATCAATTTGATATGCACTTGCATCCTGGAGCTTTATACAAATTGCTAAGTCAGTTTTCATATTACCATTTTAATTTCTTTATGCTTTTAGAATGAACTATAGCTGAATCTAACAGAAAAGAAATATCAGGAAGTGAGGGTGAATCACCTGTAGTCCTTCACTTGTCTACTGATGCATATAAAAGTGGCATCACAGTTGTTATTAACTGGCTCTTTTAAGAAGTCTGACATTGAACATCACCTCCAAGGTGGTGCTCATCATCTTCATAGGCTTCTCGATTATAGAAATGTCTTCTGTCTGGAGCTGGATCAAAGTCCATTAAATCCACTTGTTCCATTTCCTCAGTTTCTTCTACTTCCTGTCTTGCAGGTAGCAGTTTTTCCAGCAAATACAACTTATCTGAGGAGAAGAAGCCACTACCTGGGAAGTTCACCTGAAACAAAGAGCTGCAGTTACTGAATTTGTCTTTAACTGGCATCTATCTCACTTACTACAGGTCAATTATCTGCCAGCATCAGCTTCATAATTACAGAAGATTTGAAAACCCATTGCTAAGGAAATAGGTCACTTGCCAGTTTTTCACATCTGCCAAAAGTGCATTTTTTCGATATTTGGCAACTTCACTGTCTTGACTAGTTCAGTCTTTTTTTCTGCCCCAGACTGTCATATTGAAAGGGCTAAAAAAATATATCTTCAGCTAAAGCCAGAGTAGGAGGACACAGCAGTTAGAGATTAGCCTGATACCCCTCCCATCAGTACTAATGAAACTCTCTTCAGCAATTACAATTAACTAACTGATCCCCTTGCTCCAATACAAGGTCAGTTATATTTCAGTTCTTCCTAAGACACACTGGAAGCCAAAAAACATGACAAACATGAAAATTCACAGGATATCCAAACAAGTTATTTCAGTACTTAGTTTATTTCCAGTAAAGAGCTATTTAGAAATCACAGAATCACAGAATCACTAGGTTGGAAAGGACCTTCAAGATCATCAAGTCCAACTGTTAACCCAAAGCCGTCATGCCCACTAAACCATGTTCTGAAGCACCACATCCACTCGTTTTTTGAACACTTCCAGAGATGGCGACTCCACCACCTCCCTGGGCAGCCTGTTCCAATGCCTGACCACCCTCTCAGTGAAGAAATTTTTCATAATATCCAATCTAAACCTCCCCTGGCGCAACTTGAGGCCATTTCCTCTTGTCCTATCGCTGCTTACTTGGGAGAAGAGACCAGCGCCCTCGTCGCCACAACCCCCTTTCAGGTAGTTGTAGAGAGTGATAAGGTCTCCCCTCAGCCTCCTCTTCTCCAGACTAAACAACCCCAGTTCCCTCAGTCACAGTTTAACCTCGGTTGGCAACTAAGCACCACACAGCCGCTCGCTCATTCCCCACACTCAGAGGGATGGAGGAGAGAATCAGAAGGGTAAAACTGAGAAAACTTGTGGGTTGAAATAAAGACAGTTTAATAGGCAAAGCGAAAGCTGCATGCGCAAGCAAGGCAAAACAAGGAATTCATTTACTACTTCCCATCGGCAGACAGGCGTTTTGCCATTTCCAGGAAGGCAGGGCCTCAGCACGCGTAACGGTTACTTGGGAAGAGACACACCATAACTCTGAACATCCCCCCCTTCCTTCTTCCCCCAGTTTTATTTCTGAGCATGACATCATATGGTATGGAATAGCCCTTTGGTCAGCTGGGGTCAGCTGTCCTGGCCATGTCCCCTCCTGAGTTCTTGGACAGCCCCAGCCTACTTGCTAGCAGGGCAGCGTGAGAAGCAGAAAAGGCCTGGACACCATGTAAGCACTGCTCAGCAATAACTAAAACATCAGTGTGTTATCAACACTATTTTCAGCACAAATACAAAGCATAGCCCCGTACAGGATACTATGAAGAAAATTAACTCTATCCCAGCCAAAACCAGTACAAGAAAGAATTGGATACTTTCTGTCTATAGCCTTGTGCATTGCATTAGGTTATCTGACCATGCTGCAAGAAATGCACTAAACAAGACACCTGATGAGTAGTGTCTTTTCTTGCTTGAGTTATTCCTTAAAGTTGAAGTTCTGCATGTTCAGTGTTAAGCTGTACCATGGAAGTTGATTCACTTACCTTGAACTCTATGATTAGACGTCCTTTTTCATATGGTCTACGATATATTGGCATGCCTTCATTCAGCACACATTTAATATCCCCATGTTTGATAGTCTGGCCTTAAGTAAATAAAAAGAAAAAAAATCCAGGCTGGCAAAACAAGCAATTTTAGTTTCAATTCCTTTCAGGATGCATTTGTGCAGCCTTGTAAGCTGTGTTTCAACAACTATACCAATATCCAGTAGTCTAATAGGGACCTACTGCCTGATAGCTTTTGTGTAGGAGAACAGGTACACATCTATGCTATATTCTACCATTTTATATGCTTCTCAAAGGGAGCATACCTACAAACGTCAAGTATTCCATGAGTTCCAAGTCTGAAAAATTTATCTTCAGAGATCTTGAGTATCCTCAGGATATTAGCACATCCATGAAGTAAAGTTCGTTACTGTGGCATACGAAGAAACATGTAGTCACTGTTGCCCACTAAGCAAAACTTTTATTTAAAGCTCTCTGCTGTAAAGACTTGAGGGTGGGGGGAGAAGCAGTATTTTAAGGATCAATCCTTTCTTCTCCCCTATGCTAATTGCTTGCTTTTCAGCTTACATTTGCTGGATGTACAGTTTTTTAGCACAAAGCAAACCAACACTTACCAGGATGAGAAGTAATAATTATAGTTCTATTATCCAGTGTTGTGATAGGTTTTTGAAAGCCACACAGTGCTTCAACCAGCTGTATATCCACGCACATAACAAGGTCTTCCCCTCGCCTATGGTAGAGCCAAGCAACAAAAGTCAGGGGTGGGGAAACAGGAAGTGTGAGAAGGACCATGCCTAACTCAGGTATTAAATTTGGTAAAGACAATAAATTTGGAATCTTAATACTAAGAAGCCTGACCAGTAAAACAGAGAACATTAACTATTAGCTAAGCCAACTACTTCAGGGATAATATCTGTGATAAGAGCCATTTACTACTCAGGGACAGTTATTCAAAAGCTAACACACACACACACTCCCCC